GAGAGAGAGAGAGAGAGAGAGAGAGAGAGAGAGAGAGAGAGGGGGGGGGGGGAAAGAGAGAGAGAGAGAGAGAGAGAGAGAGAGAGAGAGAGAGAGAGAGAGTCAGAAATAGCAGGACCAGACCGCCTGTGAGTACAACGTCACCGGTCGCATCGTGTCGTGTCTGTTGTTGCAGCTAGCTCTTTATCCAATGGTCAGTGTGCGGCTATTTGAGAGTCCACGCAACCAGGAAGAGCTAGATGTGGTATGTGGAGGGGTCATCCGGGACAGCGGATCGGGGTTACGAGGCGACAACGGCGCGAACCATAACATCTATGGTCTCATTCAGAGATGTTTATAACCTATCGAAGGTGTAATTGAATTAGAATTGATCCTACAATCAGATACTAGTCGTAGCTTCAATAACTAACGCTGACTACACGTTATTCCTTCAGCTATCATCAAGTCACTTAGGCCGTATGTACACAGGGAACACACGCGCGGGGATGGAGCATAACAGCAAACACAACATGTCAGTTGAGAGCGCGTGATCGCGTGCGAGTTTAAATGCGCCTCGGGTGAATGCTAACCTCGGCTAGACCAAGCACGCCACCAATGCTACCTACCGTGAGCAGACGGGAGGGGGCGAGCGAGCGCGCGCCAACTGAACTGAGACGGTAGCGGACAGTGAACCGTTCGCAGCGCCACCGTGGCAACACGGAGCAGGTATGCACTAGAACGCGACAGTGTTCGGTGTCCGCGCAAGCGTGCAGGTTTAGGAAGTTAAGCCTGAAGTGAGCGTGGTTGCCCCGCGGCCACAGCGCCCTTTCACAGCTGAACAGCTGCGGCAACAATAGGCAGGATCGTGCGGTCTGTGAACCAGTAAACGTCGCCGCTCAAACGGAGAGGGAGAACCGTCTGCTGACTGCTGGTATTTGTTGCTGGAACAACACCGCCGGAATTCGCGCGCCGTAAGACTGCTGGTGTTTGTATCTGCATTAGCCCATCTATTCGCGCGAACGTGAAAATGACACGCGAGCATGCGTCGCTCTTACTAACGCTTGTGTTCCTCGGACGATTACGGGAATTTACGGGCAATCACGAGCGGTGTCGCTAACCTATCCGTAGAGTGACAGCAGAGAACAGGGCCGACATGCAGGCGTGCAGTGCGAATGCTCCCGCCTTTAAGGCGGCGACCCCGTGTCACTTACGGGAGCTCTCCCACAGTAGCGAACAGCAGCAGCACATCAGTGGCTTCGCCAGCGTCCGGCACAGGATACGACACCTGCGGCGCGCTCTATCCCGCCACGAGCCATCGTCATCGTCCGCATCGTCATCGCCATCGACGACAACTCGCGGGAGAAACATGCAGCGCGGCAACGGCGGCGATAGCAGCATCATCGTCGGCGGCGGCAGCGGCGTTAGGATCCGCGCGATCAAAGCCGAACTGTTTGCGAAGCGCTCGAGATCCGTGGATGCTGACCGCATCATCATCGTCAGGGAGGTGGAGAGGAGACGCGGGAGGGAAGCCACCACAACAGAATCCCGCAGGAGCAGCGTGCGGAAGGCTAACTCTACGGCGTATCATTGGAGGGATCGGAGGGAGACGTCCGCGACAGAATCTAACAGGAGCAGCGGGAGAGAAGCGACGCCTGTTACGGGACATCGTAGCAGCAGCGGGAAGGAAGCGACCACTGTTACGGGACATCGTAGAAGCAGCGGGAGGGAGGCGAGCACTGTTACGGAACATCGTAGAAGCAGCGGGAGGGAAACGACGCCTGTTACGGGACATCGTAGAAGCAGCGGGAAGGAAGCGAGCACTGTTACGGGACATCGTAGAAGCAGCGGGAGGGAAGCGACCACTGTTACTGAACATCGTAGAAGCAGCGGGAAGGAAGCGAGCACTGTTACGGAACATCATAGAAGCAGCGGGAAGGAAGCGACGCCTGTTACGGAACATCGTAGCAGCAGCGGGAAGGAGGCGAGCACTGTTACGGAACATCGTAGCAGCAGCGGGAAGGAAGCGACCACTGTTACGGAACATCGTAGAAGCAGCGGGAAGGAAGCGAGCACTGTTACGGAACATCGTAGAAGCAGCGGGAAGGAGGCGACGCCTGTTACGGAACATCGTAGAAGCAGCGGGAAGGAAGCGAGCACTGTTACGGGACATCGTAGCAGCAGCGGGAAGGAGGCGAGCACTGTTACGGAACATCGTAGCAGCAGCGGGAAGGAAGCGAGCACTGTTACGGGACATCGTAGAAGCAGCGGGAAGGAGGCGAGCACTGTTACGGAACATCGTAGAAGCAGCGGGAAGGAAGCGACGCCTGTTACGGGACATCGTAGAAGCAGCGGGAAGGAGGCGAGCACTGTTACGGAACATCGTAGAAGCAGCGGGAGAGAAGCGACGC